AAAGCAATGTGATTTTCAGCCAAGAAGCTCATTGTCACTTTTGCCTAAGCACAGCAGCATGCAAAGAAGACGCTACTTCAGTCTCCAATACAACCAAGTGGACAAGTGCCAGATAACCAAACGCATTCTTGTTCTGGTTCTGATATACATACAAAATTTTTAAACAGATTTTTTTTATCCAGAATCCTCTCCTATTAGGGCAGAGATGAATAAGGAGAGCCATTTACTTCAGAAGGTACCAATGGCAGGACTCTCTTAGAGCGGCATTTATTTCTGCAAGTAAAGAACCCTCTGCAGAAGTAAGGAACTTGACATTCTGGACCAGAACACTTTACAGCACTTGCATGTTAAGCAGCAGTGAGAGAGGAATTAAGAGATATACAAATATAAGCACATGCTTTAGCAGAGGCTTTAAACTTGCAAAAATGTGGAAAAACATGAATTCATTTTATTTCTCTGGGTTGGTTTTCCCCTGGAATTAGAGCAGATAAAATTCTCTTGTGAATTGCTATCTGTGAAGAAAGGTGCAGTGAGCATAACCAGGCTAGGAGCCCCAGAAGACCTGCAGCTGTGGCTCTCCATTTTACGAGAAGCAGGAAAAAAGAGAACTTCTGCTTTAATAAAAAACATCAGTACTTTTCCAATCTTTAAGAGGGATATCATCCATTTTTTTGCACTGACATGAAGATGGATCTAGTCTATCCATCATCTTCAGGACACCATGGGGACCAAAGAAGCAGATACACAGACACAAAATATAAAACCAAAAACTACGGGAAGCATTCTGAACAGCTGTTATATATTTTGAGGGAGGACTAAAACTGCTGGGGTATACGTACAGTGGGCTACAGTTAGGTACATAGGACCCATGGATAAGATACTCTTTCAGACACTCCTGCAAAATTACTTTCACAATGTCTAGCAGTCAGCACTAAACATAAGGTGAGCTGGGGCAAACACTTCTAAAGTTAACAAACAAGGAATTAAATCAGCTGTCATGGGATGCTTTTATGTATCAGGGAGCCTCCAACACTGTTCAGATACACCAGGGATTGATTACATAACAGTGCATGGGATGGCCATATAGAGCTGCATACTCCTGATCAGATGAATCTAAATCTTCTTCCAACCAATGCATAAGAAAACCAGTGTAAAACTTGGTGCAACTCGATTTCAGTTATCCAACTTAATTTCTTCAGAGGGTGGAGGAAAAGAGAGAGAATTCAAACTCCACTGACCTTCCCATTTATTCTTCCTCTTTATAACAAACTGTCTCAATAGGTTCCTATTGGAAACAAGCTGAATTCCCTACTACAAGTTTATTGGAATAACAATAAACATGGTACGGGAGTATGAATTCATAAGTAACTGGTATCTTGCTGAGTAAACATTCTGAAATAGTGTTTTCCCCTGCTATTCACCATTTAAATTCTTTCTGCTGCTTAACTTTTAGAGGCACTAACAGGTTTTATCACCAGATACAGATTGGCAGCCTTAATCTAAACAAACTCACTGACAGCACTGGTAGAGCTCATTAGCGTTCTCACCAGATGCTTCTGTCTGTATATATGAGCATCTCCAGTTTTCTTTTCCAGTACATGACCCATGACACTAGCATAGCTTTCAAATTAAAACAAGAAATGTCAGTACAGCTTCAAATCCTTGCTCTTGTGGGGATTAAATCTGTGCAAGGCTATGACAAAGCATTCCATATTTCTTGGGCTTCTTAAAAGCTTTTTTTTGTTGTTTTACAGATCACTTTAGTGATTTTTTTTTTTGCATTTCTCACGAATCTATATAGATATGGTTAACACACACACTATTTGCTTTCACAGCAGAAGTACAGAGAGCATTTGTCACTATAAATATCACACAGGGCTGTATACAGAGATGAAACCTGCGCTTCGTCTGTCTCTGCACAAAGCAATGCTTTGACACAAAAGCTGTCAGAAATCATTACAGGGAAGAATTTAAAAACCTCATACAATGATTAAGACACCGCGGCCAAAGTAAGTATCATAAAAACAAGTTACGACCCAGCTCCAGTTTTCAAGTGAATGACAAAATAGAGGGCAGGGAGGCCAAATCTGTGTGTTTCACAAAGAATGTCTCCCTGAACCTGGCAAAGCAGGCCCCATCAGATCTCATGGTCAGTTTATTGGCCTATCGGCACTTCACAAGAAATGAAGCAGTGGCAACAATCTCAGCCCCAGCTCATCAGTCACATAGGTACAAAGCATGCAAATGGAAAACAGATTTTCTGATTCTCTGCACTTCCCTAGGGGCCTGTGCTGCTGTCTGAGGACGGCAGCGTTCTCCTTTCTTGGCTCATTTGCAAGATAAACATATTCTGGCCTCAAATGCTGCTCCTTTCCAACTGCTGGTGAAAACTCCAGTCAGTCTGCGAGATTAAGAGGATGATCTAGGGCACTACTCAATCCAAGAAAAATGCTCATGTGGGAACGCAAAGCTGTTGTGTGACCAGAGATTTTTCTTTCCACTGGATCTCACTCTGCAAGCTCAGATTTAAATAGTTTCTATCTTTATTCTTCATCCACATTAACTTCCTTCCTCACACACTTGGATTTAAACAGATTTTTACAGTACTAGTTAAAAGCTGCTTTTCTGCACCTATGATGACTTAGGATGTGACTGAGACAGCCCTCATACCCAGGCAGTGTTGGGCTGGATCAGTATGTAGTTTTAAACACTTCCAAACACCTGCAGGAAGCAGCATTATCGATGAGACAGATAAGACCCTTCTTAACTACCCCACATGTAAATTTATGGTTCCTCTTAGTTACAGGACACCTTGTGAGAATCTTGTAGGAGCTTGTAGATCAGCCCCTACCCTTGTAGGCAAGCTCCAGGTCAGCTCTTGCTTTCTGCCTATCCGTGCCTGTCTGTACAGCCTCTTTTGATCGCTGTTCTAGAACTGATGTACGGTGTTTCTGAATTTTTCAAGCAATCACTTCTACCCCAAAATCAGCTGCACTACAGCACTTGGAGCAGCAGTTCCTCCGTGCTCATCATGCTGCCTCAGATGCATATGACTAAGCCCTAAAAACATTCTCATAGCAAGTTTTAAAATATTGGAGAAAGACATTGGGGAAACTGCTAGTTTTGATAAAATTAGTAGTGCTACAGACAGATCTCATGTCCTTATTACTTATTCCCCTCTTTGAACTCAAGACAAGACATATAATTTGAGCACTGGGTTAGAAGCTAGAACAGAAAAAAGACTAATTTGCTCTGTTACAAAAACCTTCCTAAGCAAGATAATTGAATCATGCTTATTAACAAACACAGACTTTTAAGGTTGAAGAACAGATTAAACTATCATAGTGACACAGGGACAAATCTTTAGTTGCCGTAAAGGCACATAATTTCATTGACAACAGTGGCTAGAACAAACTTTGTCCAATTTATGTCTAGAGTTGGCCAAAACTCCACAAATCTAGAAACTCTTGAACTTTGGGAAAACTTTGATCCAGTCCAGACTTTGTGGCTCTGATCCACTTCAGCTGGGAAGGACTCAAATCTGCTTAAAATATATTTCACAACACATCTTTGCCTGCATTTTTTTCGGATAGGTCATAAATACCACATGTAGAACCATTTCTGCTTATTTGCAATACCTGCTAGTAGAGCCAGCTATTCCCATCTCCAACCCAGAGTGTTAAAAAAAAAAGACACAAGAGCAAGCTTTAGATCAGTTGACTTGCTACCAAGCAGCAAGAAGAAAGCTAAGGTACTAAAATCCGCACAGTCAGAATGTTTGGAAAGCATTCAAACTGGTGAGAAACTCTATGTGACTTGTACAGTGTGAAACAGCTTGCAAAACGAGCCATATCACTCCCTTCTTGTTATCCCCAGAAAAACCAAAGACTCATTTGACTACAGTTTCTAAACAAGCATATTATGCAAGTCTATTGTTTTTTTGTAAGGTAACAGCTTCATTCACTCTAGTAGGAAAGCTGTGATCGCAAACCACATAGGAAGGCTGTGGTTTTCAAATGACCTAGCTGAGAGTGATGAAACTAAACTAAGTAAAATCTAACAAGAGAAAAGGAATTTGACAAGCTCTTCTGACTGCATTTACCACTCATAGTTTAACAAATGAGCTATTAATCACTTCCGTCAAGTACAGCCAGACCTAGATCCACAGATCATAGGATAATTCCAGTAGGAATGGACCTCAGCAGGTCACACCAGGTTTCTCAGGTCTTTGTCCAGTTGAGTCTTGAAAACCTTCAAAGACAGAGGCTGCACAGCCTCCCTGGGCAAACTGTGCCCCTGCCTGACCTGTCCTCGGGGTGAAAAACTTTTTCCTTATACCCTGTACAAACCTCTCTTGTCTCAACTTACACTCATTATCTTTCACCCTGCTCCCCTACCATGCACCGCTGTGAAGAGCTTGGATCTCTCTGCTTAAACTTCTCCATAGCTACTGGGTGGCTGCCGTTCGTTAGGTGCTCCCAAAGCCGTCTCTTCTCCAGGCTGAACAAGCCTGGGCTGGCAGCTGCTCCTTGCAAAGCAAGTGCTCCAGCCCCCTGACTTTCCCTGACAGCCCTCGGTCGAATTTGCTCCAGTTTATCAATGTATTCCCTGTACTGAGGTGTCTACAAGGCTCCTCATTCCAGATGTGGTCTAACAAGTGCAGAGCAGAGGGCCATGATCACTTCCATGAATTTGCTGCCTGTGCTACTGTTAGTACAACCCAGGATACTTTTGGCTGCCTTAGCTGCCAGAGCACACTACTGGCTCACGTCCAGCTTGCTGTGTACCAAAATCCCCGGGTCCTTTTCTGTAGAGCTGCTTCCCAGCCATCCAGTCCCCAGCCTGCATCATTGCCAGAGGCTCTTCTTTCTCATGTTCAGGGCTTCACATCTGTCCTTGCTGAATTTTGTAAGCTTCCTGTTGGGCCATTCCTCCAGCCTGTCCAGGTCCCTCTAGGGGAGCAACCCTGTCCTTCACCGTTCTTGACAGATCCTCCCAGTTCAGCGTCCTGTGCAAACACAAGTGCACTGCATCACCTCTGATTCTTCAATAAAGACGTTCAACAGGACGGGTCCCAGGACAAACCCTGTGCTACCCTAGTTGTCACAAGTCTCCAGTTAGAGTAGGAATCATTAACCTCTACCTTCTGAGCCTGATCATCCAGCCATTTTTTTACCCAGCTAATTGACTTCCCATCCAGACTGTAACAGTCTAATTCGGATATAAGAACATTGTGGGAGATACTGTCAAAAGCCTTGTTAATGTCAAGGCAAACAACATCCACCACTCTCCCCTGCAATGACAGCAGTGGGAGTTCTGGTACTGAACTTCGGGGAACCAGTTTTAACTCTTGGCTCTGGAAAGTCACACTGGAAACAACGGCTGGTGCACACTCTCAGAAGGAGGAGTGTTCTCCAAAACACCTTTGGAAAGTAGGGATTTGTATTACTGGCATTCAGTAGGCCAAATCCTTAACTGCAGTAATCAGCCCAGCTCCATTAAACTCCGTCTATATAAAGTATTTCATCTCAGCTAACGATCCTGCCTTATTGTGCACCTGATATTTGTCGCCTCAACTCTACATGCAGGTTGCAGACACACGCCCTAGGAGTGTCAAACAGGGATAGCAAGGTAAAGCAGAGATGCAGAAATTCCTCAGTTCTCTTGGGAGAAGCACAGATCCACTGTGTTCCTGTGACAGTCTTTCTCTTACCTTTGCAAGGAAACTCCATGCTGCATATTGCCCTGAGGTTGTGCTGCTTTTTAGCTTCACTGTGTGCAACATCAGAAAGAATCCCAACAGTGCACTGCAAGGGATGGGGAAAGCTTGTTAACAAAGTCTTTTAATTTCAACTAAGCAACCTCCTACAGGCATCTTGGTTTTCCTAATGCAGAACTGAGCAGTCACCCTTCAAGCAGTGTTAATCCCATTTGGAGAAAGCAAGCTGGTGGACAAAGAACTTACATTGTGTCCAGTACGTCTTGGGTTTTGTTCAGTCAGTGACTAGAGTCTGAGTAAAGTAAGTCTGACGCTCTTATGGCTGGTCTCTAATGCACTTGCATAATCAGAAAAGTAGAGATTATTGGAAACATGAGGTGAAATATTAACTTCAGGCATTGAAATGACTCTGAATAAAGGAAATGCTAATTTCAACCGGAGCCACACATGTTTGGCAATTGACTCGCTTCAACCTCCACAGAGCCTTGAACTGAAAAAAATAACCACCGGAAAGTTTCTGCCTGAAGCTTTCAAGCTGTTTAAACTTCATGAAGCCTAAATTCCAATTAGGAAGTCAAATACATCTCTACTGTATAACAAATAGACAGATGACTCAGTAGTGCTGGGAACAGAATAATCCAAAGTTCTTGCTGACGATTAAATTAATTTTGATTCTCAAGTCATGTAGGACAGTAGTCCCCAGTGCTCCTGTAGCCAAGACTACTCTTAATGAAACTCTGTTCCACATCTCACTGCACCTCACAGAGCTTATGAGCTCTGGCTCTTGTTTCATTTGTGGCATCCTTACAACCCACTGGTTGTGAACCAGTGAAATAGTGTAAACCAGCAAGCAGGGAATAGAAAAGGACTTCAAAATATGCAAGGCACAAGTGACTGTGTGGCCAGCTGAGAGGCATAAGAGATTACAAAGTACTGTGGGAAGCTGCATGGGAAAGGAGATGGGATCAACACAGCACACAGGTGGTGAGGCAGAAAGTGCCCTGGTATTCAAAGAAGGTGTGCTGCTCCGGATACTGATGCAATGCAGTCGGTGCTCTCTCTGCAATAGCAGGAAGGGTGGAAGATGGTGGCTCCCCAGGTCAGAAGTTCCGCACTGGGCTCCAGCACCTCAGCCAAGTGCTGCTCCCTGCTCAGTACGTGTGGCACAGCTGCATCTCAGCCACATGTCAGTACAGGTGTTTTTGACACACCAAACAATAGGGTAAGATACCCGGCCAGCAGCAGGAGGTACTAGGGTTTCTTACACGGAGCCATAGCACGAGACCCCAGAGGACTGCCTGCTGCGCCTGGAGCCAAGAAAGCAGACGCTGCTTTGATGATAAAAGACAGGCCCAAACTCAGCTCCCTGTTGCAGAGGATGAAGAGCTGAACAGTGGAGCATTCTGCTCTCAGAAATCAGTGAGTTCGATGAAGCAGCACTGCCTAAACTTTTGAAAGTCCAGCAGCTGGCTTAAGTTTGTTCCACATCTTCTGCCCTGCTGAGAAGGGCTTTTAGGCAGAGTGATTCGCAGCTGTTTAGTGTAATTCAGAGATAAAAATTGGAACGGCTAATTATATATACCTGAAATACTGATGTCACAATTAACACCGATTTATTTCATTAATGGAGCACTTCGCACCTTACTACTAATGCTTCAGACATTCTGCACAGGTAGTAGATTTAGCTGCATCAGTTACCCTTACTTTACATTACACAGGTTTTCCTCTAAATCCTTTAAGTCTACAAAGACACTAGATTACAAGATGTAGGAGACCAACTGAGATGCTTGTTTCTCCATCTAACTATTCATTTCCACTTGCTGTAGTGTATAGCGCTATCTACTATACATGTACTGAAGCTGGGGCAATGGAAACAGAAGTGGGAGGCTACAACAGTGGTAAAATTCTAATGAAGCGAAAGAGAAGAGTATATGGGCTAGACAGATACCCATTAGTGCCTGCAGTTAGACCTTGCCTTCAAGAAGAAATAGATTTCACCTACCTGCCGTGAAGCAAGTTATTCATTAATAGCTAATTGCAAGTTACTTGTAGTGTGGATAGTCCACCCTTGAAAAAAAGCCACTTGAGCACCAAAAAACTATCTAAATAGGGAAATTATTTAACGATAATTTTTAATATCCCCTTTTAATGGAAAATCCAGATACAATTACAAAAATCTCTAACAATCAGGAAATATTTTTGCCATCGGTTAGCATGAAAATATTTTTTCCCTTCTAAAAAGAAAATAATTCCATTTGGCAAAAGACTGCAGGGAAGAAAGCAATAATTTTTTTTTGCAATAATGAAGACCTATAGAAAACACACTTACATTGTCCCGTGAGAATTACACTACTGGCCAGTGAACTTTTGCTACTCAAAATAAAGGAACACTTGTTAAAGCTTTTTCCTTTTACACAAAAAAAGTATTCTGCCAAATAACAAGATGTACAGGCAAATAAATCCATGTACACCCATATACCGCTGAACACTAATGCTTCGTAATCACTGCAAACAGCAAGTTTTACAAGGGCTAATCCAACTTGAGAAGCATTTGAGAGATGCTATTTATCAAAGCTTTGCTACATTAGGTAAAAATTATTTTACTGGTGACTGGGAAACCTCCTTCTCAGAATGTACTAACTCATATAAACACGTATACTTACAGCACATTTGAATCTCACGCCTTCAAATGCACATCCAGAGATATGCACAGATACATATTCTCTGCAGTTTTCCTGGCTTATGCCAGCAGAAACTAGTATAACGCAAGGTTTTGCATGCTCCACAATTTTTAACCGAGTCAAGGCTGAAAGTCAACAGGATCTCTTAGTTTGAAAACATTCACACGTCCTGTTACAGAAAGGTTACCTGGCGCAGCAGCTGCTATGAAACCTGTAGAAGTATAGGAATGGAAAGTCCAAGGCACTGAAGAGATCACCTGAGGGACAAAGCAATATACTCAGTGGAACACAGGGGAAAAAAAAAATTACCCACTGTTACAAGCAAGGGAACAGCAATTACACGAACGTTACTAGTTTAACATTCCTTTGAGCCTTTACAGCTGGCTGACTTTTCATTTATCATGCCTTCCACATTTCTAGTATGTTTAATGATTTCTCTCTGACCTTGCTTCTGGCCAGCTCCTGCCTTTGGTTGAAAAAGGAGAAAGAAATATGTAAGAGTATTCTTTACTAGTATACAGAAGATTCTGCTTAAGCAAGAGTTTCCAGTGGAGAGACATGCACCGTATCTACTTCTTTAATTACAGAGCTCGTGATCATTCCCAGTGAAGCAACAGGAAACACAGCCATAAGTTGGCTGCTTCCCCCTCTAGCATTTGAACTCTGTCACACAGAACAAGTTCAGAGGTTTAAAAAAGTTCTCCCAGATCCAAGCAGAGCTCTTGAGTACTTGCATTTCCAGGAACATGGGCCCTCATTGCTCTTGGTAGCAACAATTCCCAGGATTTCTCCAGGCTTAAGCCTCTACAGATTCAGAGGTAGGTCCATCTTTCACTTTTTGAAATGCAGGACTATTTTGCTTAACGTGCCTGTCTATCCTAGTGGAGGAACGCTATATACACAATATGCACCACCAGGCAAAAGGGGAAATTTCTGTTTACTGAAATGGTTCTTCCTTTGTTTTTCTGACTGAGCAAATGTCTAGTGAAAGCAACAGGCAACCTTTATCTTTCTAACTATTAAAACACCGGTATGATAGGAGTATTAGCCACCACCAACTATTTGATTTCTCAATTTTTAGTCTTTGATCTTTTGCCACTTCAAATCCTGCCATGGGCTGAAGCGATGGGATACATCTTACAGAAGCAGCAAAATGAAACCTCTGCATAGCACTGAGGGCAATGCAGAGAAGGAAACTCAGTTCTATGTGGACTGCTGGGACACTGGAGAGGACATGTTCACCTAGGAAATTCTTGTTCTTTATCATGCACCACCTCAAAAGCTGTTCTTTCTTGTCTGTCCCATGCTGCTTCTTTGCAAAGGGAACCTAAGAAAGGTATTAGTAAATATCATGTAAATTACACAGTGTTATATACCCTCCTCTCCTCTTCCTACAGGATATCATTATTGGTCATATTCCTGTTGAATTCCAGCGCCAAAATCCTATAGGTTTTGGCCTCCAAAACATGCATGGAAAGGAAACACAATATGGAAGCCTAACAAAGGAACAACTCAATCCACTTTACCTGCTGGATGGGATGCAGAGGCCAACAGCACCACACTAAAAAATAAAAAAAAGATTAATTGTATATCACAGAATTTATGACATTGCCTGAACATTATAAATTGACAACTTTGTGTTTGTTTTTTCATGCTGAAACTTATTCCAGTTAAGTAGAATAACTGAGGCATAAGTATCAATTAGAAAAAAAAAACCAACTTGGTTGGGAAGGAATCTCTGGGGTCGCCTAATGCAACCTCTCACCTGAAGCAGGACTATCACCAGTATTTATTTGACCATGTCCTCTGTGGCTCTGTCTCAAAAAGCCAGGTCTCAAAAACCTCCCAGCATGGAGATTCCACACTTATGTGGGTAACTTGTCCCAGGGCCACTCTGCCCTCCTAGTGAAGAAGTTTTTCCTGATGTTCCATTTTTAAACCACCAAAGCTGCAATTTATGGTTGTTGCTCCATGTTATACGATCTGTCACTCCTTAGAAGTTTGGCTCTGTCATCTTTGTAACTCCCTTTCAAGAAGGCGTAGGCAGTTGTCAGGTTGCACCTTGGTCTCCACTTTGCCAGTGTCAACAGGAATAGCTCCTTCAAATTCTCCTTGCAGTAGGCCATGCGCTCTAGGTCCCTAACAATGTCAGTAACCCTCTGCTAGATCTTAATTTCTCAGCATCTTTCTCGAACTGGGTGGCCCCAAATTGAGTAGAGTAATCCAGCTGCAGCCTCAGCAATGCTCATAACAACTTCTCTCGATCTGATGGCCACGGCCCTTCTAATGTAGCCCAACACACAGTTTGCCTTAATTTGCCATGAGCATGCACTACTGCCTCACGCAGATTTCAGCATTCACTGTCAACCCCAAGCCCCTTTCAACAGACCTGCTGTTCAGGCAGCTGCTGACACCACTGAGACAAAATCCACAGAGAACTGCACTTGTGTCTAGACTTGAGTGTCTCTCTGTCCAAGAATAAATTTTAGCTGTGTGCACACAGATGTCTGCTTTATAGGGATGTACATATATTGCATATGAGTCAAATATAGCCTTATGTGTGTGATTGTGCATGCACTGCACATTCATGCCCAAAATGTCAGTTAGAGAAACAACAAATGCTGCAATTAAACAAGTTTTAAAAAAATGCACGTAAGTAAAACCAAGTACCAGCCCAAATGATGCACTCTTCAGAAAGATGCACGTGAACAAGAAAATCAGCTGTAAATAGTTCTTTACCTGGAGTATCCCTTAAGATTTCTGAGGCCTTACAAAGACTTCATGCTCTGAGTTCGCGGTACAGGCCGTACACAGCCTTTTTCAGTGCTACTGATTCTTATGGTAAATTTTGATTTTTCTTCCCGATTTTGTTCATTCCGTGTTGCTTCTAAGGTTACAAGGCTACAGAAACATCTTCTGGGGCACTGTAAGACAGAAGCAGCATGCGTGTCCCCAAAGCAGAGCTACAGCTTCCTCCAGTTACCAACAACACACATCCATGACGAACTCAAAGGACAAGAGGGACAAGAAGGAAAGAGTATCTAGAGGGGCTGCTTCTCAATAAGCAGCAAGCACTGCATTTACAAGGTAAAAAGATATTCATTAATGTTACGAATGCTAAAGCTGGGCAACTTTCCCTGGCTAATTACCAGCAATTTTTACAGTTCACTAGGCCCAGTAATGGCAGTGCAGTGCAGTGCAATGAAAAGTTAAGGCAGAGAAACAGCTGGAAGGGGTTCCCAACACACAAGGTTACAGCTAGAAAACTGACCTCGCTGTGAATGAGCTACCTCTAGCACCTGCAGCAGCACAGCATCAGCCGCGTGGTGCTTATACCAGACCAACTCCCTCTTCTAGCACCAACACAGTCACTGCTTCCAAGCCTGCTCGCTCTCAGCTGGTCCCAGTTCTCTACGTGACCAGGCTACTGCGCGTGGTGGCCTGCGCTTCGGTGAATCCCAGCATCACTTGCAGAGGCACCAGTAGCAAAAAGAGCTGCAAAGAGCGTGGTAATCCCGTGGCCAAGGAAGCCTCGGGGGAAGCTCGTCACTGAAATCGGCCACGGAAGACAATGGGCTGAAGAAGGAGATGGTTGATGAGTGACAGGCAGGTGGGCATTTTAGGCTTAATGTTTTATGCAACGTCTTTGAAAGGCTTCAGCTGGTACAGTATGTTTGCATTGTCAGTATTTATACATGTTTTTAGAAGATGTGGTTGTCATAAAGATATCAAACAAAGCAAAGCAGATCACTTCCAGTATGCATTGCCCCGCCCCTCGTCCCCACGCACGCGCGCTCTGCCCATGCGGGATGCCAAGAGGAATTCACAATAAACAAGACCAATTCCTCATTTTCCTGGTAAAGAGAGAAAGGGAAGCAAAGGCCTATTGCTTTTGACTGAATAACAGAGAAACAGGAGACTGGCAGGGCAAATGAAAGCATATCAACAGTGATGAGAATTATGACTAAGCCATGTTTCTCCACTTTTGCTTTTTCCATTATTAATTTTTAAACAAAAAAACAGTGAGATTGGGAAATGCTCAGAGAGAAACTTCCTTCTGCAACCAAGAGGAACTGATAACCCTACCAGGCATCCCAAGCCTCGATCCAAAGAAAACATAGAAGGAAAACAAAACCTTTGTGAAGTGCGGGGCAGGTTACGGCAAATGGGTTAGATGGCATTAAAGCTGTACTGTAACTCTGCTCTGAACAAAACACCAGAAGAAAAGACACGATGTGTCTGTAAAACCAGATGACGGATTCAGAGGTTTCCAGCAGGACAGCCTGAACATCAGGCTGCAGCAAAACCAAAATCCCTGTACCGGACTTCTCTGCTCCTCTCTTTCTCCTGTACTCAATACTGAGGGCTGGGTCACCCATGGTTTTCCTTCTGGCTAAAAAGCGGTTTTGTCAGCAAGAACAGCAATTTATGGCTGCCAAGCTGCCCTCTCCCAGTGCAGAAAATCTACTGCAGCTTTTTTAATTCACAGAAGTGACAGATTACCAGCTCTTCCAGAAGCCAGATGTAGTTTAGCTGCACAGAGTAGAGCCTTTACTCACACCTTTATCAGAGCCATTTATTCACCATTTGAAACTCTCCAGCTCTTTGTTTTCTCCTCACCATTGACTGCTACGCTATCTGTCACATCTTTGTGAACAAATACCAGACAGTGACAGATACTGGGATCTACTGAAACTTTCTTCCAGGTTCTCCGCAAGAAGTAACATATCTCTACCTGCCTCAGCATACGAGAAAGCCCAAGATGAGACGTGACCCACTTCTAAGACACGTTATGTATCCCACAGCATGCCAGGTAGACATTACTACCCTATGCACACACTACCCCTTGCCAGCTAGCTGGGGGGGGAGAAATTTCGCTCCCTCCTTCATAAACAGTGAGGAACTTGAAAGGAATAAAAGAAATTGCAGGATTACTGGAAAAATCGCTAGGAAGTAGGACACTAACTCAGAATTCAGAGTGCGGGGAAATACAATACCGCAGTAAAAAAAAAGGTGGTGGGAACAAGACTGGAGGATTAGAGGGAGGTTCTTGGAAGTACATCCGCCCTCTTCTCTTCCTCCCCCTCCCTGCCCCACGTGCTTAAACACAAGGGAGATGGATGAACAGGACGGGGCTGGGCACTGAGAAGCAACATCACCCCTCCCTTCTCTGCATAGCACAGCTCTGCTTTACCTCCTACACTTGTTCCCGGCCTGGCTCCTTTTTTAAAAGTCACTGAATAATCATGCTGTAAGCGATGAAGTGAGAAGAATGCCACACTTTCAACATCAGCAAATATTTCTTCAGATCTGTTTGGTTCTGGAAAGTTCTTGTTCATGTACATTTGCTTAATACATTCTCCCCTCCCAAACTGTTCCAGATTTTAAAAGAAGGAACAGTGCACGGCATGTAGGGACAGCGCATGTTAGGAGACTGCTAATTTCAGCTGCACCTCTGGAAGTGTCCAACAGAGCCAATACAGTTAATGTTTCTTTTTAATCTAAAGATGTATTTTTTTTCATCTAACATATTGGTACATTCCAGCATCCAGTAGCTTGGGGCAGAACTTTTACTCTGCTCTATCTAGGCAGTCTCTACGCTCAAGAGTACAATTCTGCTTTCATACTGAACAAAAACACTTTTTCCTATATATTAGGAAAAAATTCTTCACCAAAAGGGTTATCAAGCATTGCAACAGGCTACCCAGGGAAGTGGTTGAGTCACCATCCCTAGAGGTATTTAAAAGAAGCGTAGACGTGGTGCTTAGGGACATGATTCAGTGGTGGACTTGGCAGTGTTACATTTACAGTTGGACTCCAGGATTTTAAGGGTCTTTTCCACCCTAAATGATTCTGTGATTCTATACACTATCTGGCTGTGCCCACACAGCTGCTTTCTTTTCCCCCCACAGCCGCACGTCAGCTGTCTGATCTAGGTTAGAAATCAGGAGTTATAAAGGCCTATTGATAATAGTGCTAAATGGAGAACATTGCACTGATACCACACTAGCAAGTTCCTTCATAAGGCATAGAGCCATAGAATTGTGCTCATACAGACAAGACCACCGGTACACATTCAGCTGTCCTGTTCTGGAGGTGGAACTGGGATCCTGTCACAGCCGAAACAGTCCTCGAGAAGCCCCGAGCAGAGGAAGCAGCATGTACCTTAATACCTGTTAAATCACAAAATGTACTGCTGGGCACCCTCTGACAGAGATACACACACGTTTACAGTAATTCTGACCCAGAAGTGCACGTGAAGAGTTAGTGCTCATTCAGAGAATGTTCAGAGTAAAATGCCTTCTACCCAGTGTGATTTAAAAATACTCTGTGTGATTTAAAAATACTTTTGACTGTTTTCTACAGAAATTAAGCTTGTGCAATAAAGCTGTGTGTACACATACATACATAGCTCTACATAGCTCTCAAACACGCTGACCAGCTTCATCGAAATTTGGGAAGTGGCAGTGACCTCCAAGATAACAACAGGTGCAAAGGTCTCTACGAAGAGACAAACCGTGCCTGTGCCTTCTGCAGCGGAAAAATTTCATCTCCATTAGACACTGGAGGACCTTCACGGCAGTTGCACATCATGGAGGTCACAAGCAAGGAGAGAGCTTCTGCCAAATTTCACACCCTTTCAAACATCATCAGCTATTACTCTAAAAGAAATCAGACATCACTTCTCCCATTGCCATGGTACTGTTTGTTTTCCCTAGACAAGATGAGGTTCAAATGCTACGGACCACAAGCTTCTCTAATACACAGAAATACATACATACATATATAGATACCTAGTCATATAGATATCCCCAGACCCAAGCCAAACAAATAAAAGAGGTAGAAAGACTGGATGCTTAAGTCACCTGTTTTCCAACAATTGCTTTGCACTATCTCTCACAAGCTACACTGACCTGTAAGCCCCTTAATTATGAAAGTCTTTGCAAGTTTTGATGACACGTTTTTGTTTTTTTAAGCACATGCTAAAAAAGCCATCTTCCAATTTGCACAATTCCATTGTTGGTTTTTTTTTAAAAAAAAGAACAGTTTTGAAATACATACCACTACACCACTATGAGAAGTTTCTCCCTTTCAAAAGCCTCTAAATAAATAATCATGCTTTCCATGTAATGTGGAACTCCTGCTCTCTGCTGGACACAACTTCACAGACTTCAAAGGATACCATCAACTAATACAGCAGGAACCCAGCCCTGACTTCTCAATCAAAGCAGTAAAATTAAGACCTTCAGCCACAATCTGAATCTAAAGGTTCAGGCCCAGATGCATTTTTCAGCTAAAAAGACAACTGGGAGCCACAGTCAGGCAGGTGCAAAATGAAAAGTCAATTGACTTTACTGCTTGTTTCATGTTCTCCCTTCAACACAAACAAATAGCTACAGCTTATTCAAGACTTCATGGATTATTTCTGCACATAGCAGCATATTTGCAAGTTACATGACTAATTCTTCAAAACAGTTTCAATAAACACAACTACCTTCTTTCAGTAAAATTGATTTGCTTTGCACTTCACAGTAGATGGAAAACAACAACTGATTTAAACAAGAGCCTATTTCAAGAAAACTGATATTCAGATATTGTTAATGCATGGGACCACAGTGAATAGACACTGGAATCATACTCAAAGTCAGAGGCCTGCATTACTTATTTATCGAAATAGGAGAGCTGATTGACCTAAGATAGAAACAGATACACAGTATTATCATGTTGATGATGCTCACAAGATAAATGGGAATTGAAGTGAAGTAACTGTCCCACACCAGTGCCCCTGATGTCTTCCTATCAAGGATCTTTAATGCAGTCAGAAAAGAGCACACATCCACCTAATCAAATGGACAAGCCCAACTTCACTTTTGTTATTCTTATTTCTAACTTCTCTTCTCTCTTTCATTCCTTTCGACTATCCTTTCTTAGAACTTAGTGTTACCATACAACTTTAGCTACCATTCCAAGAAAAGAGGTCAATATATACAAGATATGATTAAACATAGAGGATAATCTAGTAAAGTCTCTATATGCCTTACTTCAAATACAGCCTCACAAAAATCTAGCAGAGGCTATGCACACCGAACGTTCTGGCTTATACAGCTCTTTGAGGAAAGGACTGACCTTTTTTTTTCAATAAAAAAATGCAGGGGAATCTGGTCAGTGACTCAGGCTCTCTCACTAACCACAGAATAACAAGCCACTTTTATATCTCCAAATCAGACAAACAACTGAAAGTCTGAATTAGTCAATCCCACTAACTGCACTCTGAACAATCAGTTACTGCTCATGTTCTTTGCACATCATACTTCTGTAATCACTACCTCCCCTTCTGGCAGTTTTGTACAAGTTTTATTTTCTGAAGTGGGTATTGCCAGGGAGTTACTCTGTAAATATTATTTCTGGAAATGATAGATCACTTGTGCACATGGTGATTAAAAAATTTGTAATTAACACCTCGTTACCTCCCTAGGTGTATATTGGCATGTCTACCCATAACCAGAGCCAAAAAAATGTAGCTGCTAAGTCATTCAGCTTAGCACTGTTCTTTCAATGAATGTCCTGCTAAATAAATACATTTAAGTAGTGGTAGCTATGAGTTTCCTAAACTACCCACGGTTGAAAATGAAAACATATACCACATAAAACCAGCTATGGTGTATCAAAGGCTTATTCATTTTACCTGAATACATAGTTGATGTACTGTTGGTCCAGATCACTGGGAGAAGAGGGAAAGAAAAAAAGGTGTTCTTTTACTAATGAAGTTCATCTGGTATAAGCAATCAGTATATTAAATAGTATTATAACATTGTAGTATTACATAATATTATATATGACACAATGTTATAATTAGGTAATACTAACATTACATTTTTTACATTATAACAATAATCTATTAATATTATAATAATATCAATATATTAATCAGCATATTAATTTACACATCATTTGCACGTTATTTCTGTTGTTATTATGTCAGTGGAAGTCTCATTTAAAGTGAAAATAAAGTGAGACTGACTAAAATTTAGACTCTTTAAACGGAGACAGAAAATGGTTTTGAAATAAACAAGCTTATCCATATTCTATACACACACGTATTATGTACATCTACACAACATGCAGTGGCAACATATCCATCTCCATCCATACAGACGACTGCAGACTATAGACACTGTGAACATGTAATGCCACCTGATTTCAAAACAACTGTTGTCTGGCTGAAGTTCTAACAAGCACATGGGATTAGTGCAAGGTGTCAAGGTTTTTAAGGTACTCAGCCATTCCAGTCCCGCGGCAAGCCACCAGGTGCTAAACACTTTTGAGACTGTCGCAAAGGGAGATACTGACAGATTCAAACCACGCAGCTGTCAAGGCTAACACAAACTAACATTTCCTCTTAATACCTCCGCCAGTAACTAGGGGTTCGTTTTCCAGGACAGAGTCATCACCCTTTGACAACACACTGTTTAAAACTAATTCAGTGTTCAAGTTCCCAGTATAAGTATCAATAACCACATGCTGTTGTTATCAACAGTAAGTCAGGCTCCCCTTGCAAGAGAAGTCATTAATGATTAACCAAGTGGCCCAGCTCACACTGATAATGCAGAGATCCCTACAGTTTACCTGACTGCTACACAGATGTGTCTCTAACCCTCTTTGATAGCAATCTCTTTCTTTTTAAAAGAACATGAAAACACATTACCTTAAAGAGCTAGGTTTCCGTAACTTGTGAAATGCTTTGTAAGCCCCTGTAATTGAAACGACATGTGTAATTGAAACGACATGTGTAATTGCCGCAACATGTAATCATTTGGACAAACTACAGCTTGTTTGGCCATGGTACCGGCAGACGTGAAACTCTTCTGAATTACAGTTTAGCAACATGGTACAAAGGATGCCTAAACCACGAGTAAAATGAACCTACTGCTTCAGATTAATGGTTTTCAAAGTGTTATCATCTCAGAGTACTGTATGCTATCTGTTTCTGCTAGTCCTCCTGAAGAAAAGACAACTCAAAGCTCACGACAACTACTAAGGTGTGTGTACATGTGCGTGTAAGTACATTCAGAAAAATGTCACAGAATGGGTTCTTCAGCCCACCCCACTTTTTGGGTAACTTCTGTGATGTGTTCATCTACGTAGACCCCCATAGCTGTTGGCTCTGAGCTGTCTCTCCTGTTTAGAGTTCTCTCAGCTTGAGTGTCTCTAGGTGCTTTACATTCTTGACCTACCCACCTCTTGGTTAGCTCCCATTTCTACTCTGGGAAAAGCTTTAAGCACTCAAGGAAGAAAAAATAGAGCCTGAAACTGTATTGTTCCAGACCCTTTCTTCAAGGCTTTGGGGATTCACAAAGAAAACCAGAATACAAAAAGCAAATCCAGTAGGACACTATATAATAGATGTCCTCAGTTCTGCCTCCGTTGGACAAGCTGAAGGGTAGAATGCATCCTTTCTTTAATGGTCTGTCTTGATTAACTGTGCGATAAGTTAGTTCGTCCGTTTGTCCTTTCTTGTAGCATCTTTATTCTGTGTTAGTTGACAAGAAATCTAATCACACAAAAAAATCCCAACTGTCATATCGACAACTTTCTCCCAAAAACAAGAGAAATGGAAAGAAGCTACATTTTGAGCATAAACATTATGCTGGCACTTCCTACACGTTTCAAGCACACAGAAGAGGCCTCCTGAAGACTCTAAGCAGCTTTCCATCTCCATGGCCTAGCAGTGCTTTGCAAATGAGACCTCTTGGCTTTCAGAAAGCAATAACATCATTCCTTACAGCAAACAAGTATTTGAAGTGAAAAATCCTTAGCTTTTTTTTTTCTCCAAATGAGCAAATGTTTAACATATAATATTTCCTAAATAATAAAAAGTTATACTATTTCATCTTTGTGTGTTAACAACATTTTAGAATGGGATCTCTAGACCTCCCTAGACACAAATATACATAACCACATAACCTCTGCCCTGAAAATTTTACAGTATGAATAGACAAAATAAAGAAGGAATCATCCCTAATTTGCAGACAAGACTTAACATATGAATGAGTCACTCATTAAGTCTACAGGACAGCTAAGAACCAAATACAAGTCCCTTATTATCCAGCCTAATGCTCCAAAAGACAAAAATCTCCTCGTTAAAAATTATTACTCTTGTTTTCTTCAGATTTTCTGGGTCTCACTGTTTCTAGTTTTTCATGGAAGAACTAGGATTTATCCAAATCAATGTTTAGTCTGAAAAAGACATAAGAAAATCTGACAGGTTATGCAACTCATTGTTAAAATTTTTTAAAAATGCATATGATTGCATAAAAACTGCCAATATTTCAACATCCTTGTGCTGGGAGCATATTCCATGATATTTTAGAATATTTCTGTCAGTTTTTAAATAAAATCAGTGTGTGCAACAAAGCTCCAACTACAAGTTATTGCTTGGGTTTTCTCATGTTTCTTCTCCCCTCAGAAAGCAGTGTCTCAGCAGGTGACCATCAAAAACTCCTAGAAAAGCTTAGTGCTGACTAAAATTGTATGCGCATTTTCTCATCCACTGTTAACTGACTGCAATATCTAGTTTATTCTGTTGTTGTTTTCAACGTGAACGCTATAAAAGGAATTCACTTTCTTATATTTACTAAGCTTCTTCATTCTTTCTACGTTTCTTACATCAGGAACCTTAAATAACACTAACTTCACAGTAAAGCTGTTTTCTCCAACACATTTACTCTTCCTAATTCTTTTTCCAAAAGAAAATGACTTACCGACACAGATCAAGTGAATGAGAGCCCACAAATAACCGTTTGGATCAAACTGCAATAAAGAACATCTACATAAATCAAAGCACATTCATGTAAACATACATATTGCTATTTCCTTGCAGGTAGCGTCACAAAGCAAGTACAGCTAGTGGGAGCTATGCTACAAAGGAAGAGAAGACAACTAAACTCAGGCTCTGAAATAGTCTTGGCATGGATAGCTCTATTTCTTTCAGACACATACACCATTTTAAACCACCTGAGAATATGGACCCCATTCTGTTTAATCTTGTATTGACAGTCATGGAGGGGCAAGAGAACCAGAGGAATATCACTAAGGTTTTTGCCTTGTCTCCTGGCATATTTTAGACGTCTGCTTTCAGGGGCGATGAATGATACACCAGAAGTTCCTGCTCTGCCCCACGGGCTATGAAGGGAATTAGTGCAGATGCAACACTTCTGATGACTGCATTTGATCAGCTGCATCCAGACAAGTTCCCAGATTCATCCCACCTGACTTCAGATACTAACTAAAGTATCCAAAACAAGGAAGCAGCCTTTCTAAGTCTCCAAAAGAGAAAAGTACCTCCAAGGACCAGATCTTTGCTGGACTGACCACTCTCTGGAGGTACCTCCTTTCTCTCTTTAGTAGCTACAGAAAGCGTGTAGTGTGATCACAAAGCTAAATTAGGAACCTCCTGAAAGTATGTGCAATTAATTCAAACCTAAGTGATTTGTTCTAAGCCCTATAAGAAGTTAAATCACGGTTTCCCAGCCACCACCTTCACTGAAGCTGTATGTCCTCACTGCTGTGAGGTTTTACCATGGTGCAAACACGTTAAACCCAGCAAGACTACAATACAGCAACAGGCAACATTTACAATTTCCTCGCAGGAATCCCACCCTAGCTTACAAGTAAAAGCTGCATCCCTCATATGCTAACAAGATGTCAAACATCAAGGTCTAACTACAGCTGCTTTGCAAAGCAGAGCTCACCTGTGTGTCACATAAAGGAAGGCACACTGCTGCTACCAGGAGGAACAGTACACTGTGGAGAAGAGAAAAAGAAACAAGACCAAAAGCTCATAGCCCGGATTTGTACTCTCAGCAAAGCATAGGCAATTTTACACTGACATTTCGTTTGTTTAATTTTTATTCCATATTTAATAAGTAATTTCTGCCACCAAAGTTAAGTTTTACATCGTGCATTCTTATAACTCCTACACAGTAAAGTTGTACGAGAAGCGAAGCGGCACAAAACATTTCAGCAGTGATGAAAACAAGATTTTTCATAGGGAATATTATTCTTCACTTGCCACCTGGCTTCCCTAGGCTGCTTCAGAAAGCCAAAATCAACCAATTTTTGGCTGTGAATGGCTACCAAAAAGTTCTTTCATTACAGTGAATTGCCTATTACAACAACTCCAGCAGAGGTGACTCCATTCGAAGTTACACTGTAACTCCAGAACAGAGAGCAAAGGGGGACTGAGTTTATGAGTTTTATGCTAGAAACAGCTTAAGGACAGCACAAGTCCTCCCCTAGTCCACTGACTTGGACTAAATAAATCCTTAACCTGTGGCTGAGTCAGTATTTCTACAGGCTACACTGGATACACTGATATGGAATTTTGGTGGGCTGTCACTATTAATAATAACGAACATTTGCTTTTGCAGCTTATTTTCCTGCTCCCTAGGGACACAGGAAAAGATAGAATAAAGACAATAAAAAAAACGGTATCCTTGACAATAATCCAGTGCTCAAGACAAGGCCACAGCCAGTCAGATAACGGAAACAGCAGGGAAAAGTTAAGAAGATGGTGCCTCTAAGTACACGAAATAATAGCCCAACACTACGTAAGTACAGCTAAAAGATTACAGAACATGGAGGACAACAAATATGCATTCTTCAAGGGGAAGCGGAGGGAAGAATGAAACTCTGAATACATAACTGGTCAACTTCTGTCCCTTTCCATCTCTTTTTTGAAGCCTAAACAACCAGGACCAACAAGGGCTGGTAGGTTGTGTAGCTTAGTATGAATGATTCTAGCAGAACTGGGTATCACTGACCTTTTCATTCTTAGGAAAGGCATTTTTAGCCATTTTCAATCACGTTAATTATCTTTCTCTTACTGTTTAAGGTTACCCACTGGAACTTCAAACCTGATTTCTATCTCCTTTCCAAAAACATACTTAAAAGCACTGCTGTATTTCTCAGGAAGACTGGCTTTCTGGCTTTTTTAATTTTTATGAGGAGGAAAAAATGTATCTATTTAAGGAATTGTTAAAAAAAAAAAAAGAAAATTAATTAAAAAAACATTTAATTACTCCTATGTTGCAATTTAGGTTCACCGCCCATGGGAATGTGCCTTACATTCTTCATTGTTTTGGTGTGCCATTATCTGAAGCAAATACAGAAGCTGGAGCTGAAACAAGTCTGAATCTGAGCAGTTTTAAAAGCTTACCTACAGACTTTCAGATGAGAGGTCTGCTGTAAAAAAAGAAAGTATGATTAAAAAAATCAAAATTTAAAAATAAAAATGGTGAAATAGTGCTTTCTCCTTCCAAAAACAGCAGTGATTACAGCTGATCTTATTGCACCAAACACATAAAAATCCAGTGAGCAACATTCAACAGCCTATTACATTTGAGCACTGCTTAAAGAACTTCATTTGAAAACAAAGAACCAGGACTACAGATTAGCCTACTTCAAACTGATTTATATTTTCAGATTACTTACCAGCAGGTAAACCTAAAACCAGGCATGAACTTTGTATCTGGTCCTCAAACTTAACTTGAACTACACCAAAACTATGTATTGTACGCACTCAAATACTGAGTATGCTTAATTAATTAGGAACTACCCCAGCCAAATTAGTCTTGTTCTGAACTCATGAGAGTTTCCCAATCCTTTGGTCCAAATTGTTCTCCAGAAGCTTCCCAACAAGACCCGTGTTTGCATTATCCTTGTCCGTAGTGCTCGTTGTCCAAGAAAGGAGACATAAACATGTGAGCTAGAAGGAAAATATGAAACATTTTGACAGGCACACTGATCGGAGGACAATGCCACAGGGACATGCCATGGTACACGCTGCTACGTCCCTTAGGCGTAACCTCAGTGACCTCTTCAGTTTGTCAGCAGTAGCAAACACGGGCCACTGATTTATTTGCCATGTACACAACAGAGGTAATGAATGGAGGAAGATCCCTACCACAGCAAGCCAGGGGCCACTGCAGAAATTACTTTGAGCTGAGTGATTTCCCAGTGTCACCTCACACAGCAGCTCTCGTGTCAATTAGAAAAGCATTTCACAGTCTAAAAAGAAGGATCCCCAATGCAGTTTGTGAGAAACAAACCCAGCTCGTACTAAAGGGAGGAGGAATTACTCCCCTGACTTTAACAGGTCTTGGGACAGATTCTCAAGTATTCAAAACAAATTCAGAAAAGCACTAGCACTGTTTTTCCTGCATTTCATGTGGAGATGTGATCCATCTATAATCATACTATGCATCAAACACTAGATATATTATACTGGTTAGATCAAAGGACCCAGTCCTCCCTCTCAGCTCAGACGATGAGATTCTTGTGTGAGGCATGAGGGAGAGGCGGTATTAATTTTCAGAAGGAAAAAACAAGCAGGACCAAGCCAGTCTTAAAAATGCAAATCAAACTGTCGATACACATTTGCAGTGTTTCATCAACTAAAGGGGAAAAACCCATCAATATAGACACTTACAAACAGCAAAGCTCACTCTGCATCTCATTAAGGACTAGCTACCACAGAAACACTACAGAAGCACATAGCACTAATGCCCATATTAAAAGAAATTTGGTGTCTTGTTATAGGGCAATTATATCACAGGAGGTACCTTGAATGTATCAATTAATAGCTCAATTACCTCTTTCTGCACAAACTTCTGGAACCCATAGGTTATAACTTCCGCCGCGTTGTGCACAGTGAGGAACACCGGGATTGGCTGCCATCGGGAGAGAACAAAAACGCCTCAATCAACCCACAACAGTCACACATACAGGAAGGGGCACTTCTCTCAGGGACAGCTGTCCCACATGTCTGTGGTTTGGGGTTTTGTTTTGGATTGTAAGCTGTAAACCCATGCCACATCTCCTAAAGGGGACTTAGACCCATTCCAATCACTATTACATGGCACAGGCATCTTTAAATGCAGACCCTGCCTGCCACTTCTCCCACTTTTGTGTACTTGGTTGGTTTGTATGGAGCTACCTCAGCGAGATTTGCTCCAGTTTTCTGCCTCTGGTTTTGCCTCTCTGTTCAAGTATCTACAGCCTCCACAGTAAACAGTTCTCATCGGTTTTCCCATCTCTGTCTACTCGTACCAAGAATGCAGTGTGACTCCTAGCAACAGAATTACAAGCAAGATGATTTTAAGTGTTTGCTTTCAGTTACTGCTAGGAAGAGCTGCCCAAAATTCGTGTAGAAACGTAAGAGTTCATACACAAGTGATGTTGCAATTATACCCACTGAGGTATCTGGACACCATCCTGACATGAAATCATTAATAAATAAACCCCAATGATAACAATAATGAATCAAACACCCATTGCCCCAGGCAAACCCAACCAGAATTAGTGGTTCATAACACTTCCTCCAAATCAGAACCACAGTCTCTCAGAGACTTGAAACAGAAGCAATTCTCTGCTCCAATTAAGATAACCTAAGACTAAGGCAGTTTTAGGTAGCAGTATTTCCTCACTTGTGTACAGTATTTAAACCACGCAAGTAGAGAATGAATTAATTTCTCAGTGATGTCCATGCCTTTTAAGTATCAGGTGACATAAGCAGCAAGTATCTCTGCAATCTGACTCTGTATTCAGAAATCTGTATTTTCTGGATTTTTCTTTTCATTTCCATGAAGCTGGATAAGCATTGCTAATTAAACATTTTAAGTCATAATGACAACTTGAGTGGATCCATAAACACAACAGTTACACCAAGATAACTTCTAACACCTGTCAGTTAGCAAGGAATGAAAAATCACACAAACACAACTGACATGAAGTTGTCAGCTCCAGCTTCACCGATGCTGAAAACCGATTCTCAACCCTGTTGCTGGACAACTGAGAATGTAAAAACAGAAGTATCTCACATAAGCATCCTGAGCCTGACACAATAATAAGACATACAAGAAATAACCACACGCAAGGAAAGCTGACAGCAGAATTTACATTCTTCCTTTTGCAAAGCAAATTTATTGGCTTTTTCTCTCCTCCCTCCTGCTTTTGGCTCTTCTAAACGTGTTTTGGAGCCAACAACGGCTCCAGTTTGCCTAGCCCAGTTAACCTTCTCCATATGTCTATTGTCTTTGATGTGTATTTTTCTTAAATCCGTGAGTGGGCCTAACGCTTAGGAAAAGAAAGGTTTACTGGTTGGGCAGGCAAGGTGAATGGATTCTGTACAAACCTCCCCTCGCAGCTCTGCATACTTTTGTTCCTGCATCACAGTCCAGAGCTAAGCAGCCCTGCTCCAGTTCCAGCCCTGAACTCCTGGCCAGGGGAGACTGCCAGCCCCTCCAGGGAGGCACAAACACAGATTTAAGATTGTAGCCCTGTCAGTATACAGGAGTGTTTGAAATTGGGTCTCCCTGGCTTTGATCAAAAATCGCACGTAACTTCTGCTTTAGGAATAAAGCCATTTAATTCAAATACACTGATGAGGTGAGCCAATTCAGGTACAAGTTTGGGAAAGTCCATTTTCCTTCTCACTGTGTCATAAAATTGTTGTATGCAAAGTTATTGCAAGTAAAGCTTCTACGCAGAACTGAATTTAGCCCCAGTGCAAGGCACTACATAGTAACTATGGCCTAAGACTACTCGTCCTTTTGTCTTTCCTCCCAGAATGGCCACAGAACTAGGGCTCTAAATCCCCATTCACGTACAACAAAAAGCCATTCAGAAATAGGAGATGTTCTTTAAGGAAGGTTTGGGACACAAATCACAACCATTCACAGCCCCTCTGCCACTCCAGCGCATCTCACTCTTGAATGACCAGAGCAGGGACAGGAGGAAAACCAGGTAACTTACAGGATGCCTCAGAAGTAAGAAGAAATAGCAGAGAAGATGTGATTCATACCTCCTCCACCTCTCAGGTGGGCAGGCAGAAAAGATGCTGCTGCCGAGGCTTTATTGCCATTTCCAGACAGGGCTCTCCTTAGGGATCTTTGCTCAGTTTACACCAGAGAAACCCAAAGGAACTTGCTTTGACAAGGAACCAAGAGGAATTAAATGCAGTCACCCTGGGACAGAGCTAATCCGGATGCATGGGGCTCCTGAGCACACGCCTGTGCTTTCCAAAGGTCACTTGGGTCCGAGACGAGGCCCCCAGCCTTGTTTGTGGGGACAGAGACCGCCTGTCCTTTTCTGCCCTACCTCTCCACTGGGATGTTCAAGGGATCACTACAAGCAGAATCTTGTCAAAAATTCCCATTTGATCCTTCCTGGGGTTTAGGAGCTGGCAGGCGGGAGCTGGCTCTGGAATTGGATTAAGATGCATTGACAGAATGCAGAAGGGAACTAGTAGAGAATCTGGCCTTGCAGACTGCGTAACAGCAGCAAAGCATTGCTACTTTTTAAAAATCCATGTCACCGCCTTTTTTTTTTTTTTTAAGACTATGTCATTTAAGTAAAAAGCATTCAACTCTAATGAAAGCAGATTTTATATCCTCTAAACATTTGTGAGGTTACTGCAATTCAAATGGACCAAAGAACTGATTAATCTAACCCTTCCTATAATCTCTTTCCAACTTTCAATTTATTTTTTCAAATCCTGTAAAGCATCAAAAGCCTCTCACTGAAATGGTCTTCATCCTTTTCCTGGACAGATTTCCCACAGATCCCACAGTCCCATTCCCCCTTTTGCAAAGCTACAGCTGGTAACTTCTTCAGCTTCTTCCCTACTTGCACAATTCAGAACACTGAGGATCTGTTCTGCAAAACACTGGGTACTCTGGAGAGATGCTGAGTGCTTTGGACTGTCACAGAGGTGCTTTCTGATACTGCTCTACACTTCACAGCATTGGACCACTGCTCTGGCACCATTAATGGTTCATATATTATTTAAACCCCTCCTCCCTTCTTTCCCCCCAACCCACGAACAGCATTAAACACCTCGTATGAAGGGAACATTCTTTGCTCACAAAGCAGAGGTAATGAAGAACTGACCGTCTCTTACCAATCTAGACAGTGCCCTAGAGCCAGCATAAATAACGCCCACAAACAGTACTGAAGCAGGAAGCCATGACAGGATTTCAGACCTGTGAAAACAATTAAAATCGCATTACTTCACCACATTCTGTTTACATACAGTCAGCAACAGTTGCTTGCAAGGAGAAAAATAATAATACATATACATGTACCTATATTTCAAAGGTGTGCATATTAAGATTCATTGTCTGACTGTTCAGTATTCCACCTGTTTACTAAAGAAGTCTGAGACAGACATGAATCACTTCAGCTAATGCCAGAGAGGAACTATCTGCAGATATATTTTCGTCCTTTTACTCCTTCCCCGGCTCCTCTCCCTCCAAAATTGTCTCATAGCAATTACTCTTATTGGCTTTAAAGGGAGAGAAATTTCAACTAATTTCCTTGACGTGCTGTAAAAAGAAGAAAAACTGTCAAACGAAGGCATAAAATGGCGCACTTGCACAGAGAGCACACATTTTCACTATGTACAAATACACTTGCCCACCCACACATTCATTTCCCAGCCAGATTTACAAAGAGATTCTTCCTAAAGATAGATTGTCTCTGTGGGAGCCTATCTCTTGAGATTTCGTAATGATACTCCTTTGAGCAAGCCAAACTCCTAGAGGCAATTTGAGAACTAATGGAGGAATGAAGTCATCAGATTGATACGATTATTATTATTTTTTTTTTAGCCATGGTTATTGCAACAGGGTCAGGTTTCAGTTCTGAGAAGTGGTTTCAGAATTTGCACTTTTCCTTTTTTGATCTTGGAATTTAAGGGGAAAAAGGGATCAGGTAGGCGACAAATTTCAGAGAGAACAATGAAGAACAATGAGAATAAAGATTTTGAGCAAGGGAGGAAAGGAGTAGCAGTGATCTAAAGGCCTGATCCAAAGGCTTCCCAGGACTGAAGACACTGCTACCCCCATTCACTCCTCCCAAGTTTTGAACTAAAGTCAAGAAAAAGTTAGCCAACAATGCTGGTTCTCAAAACGAAACCAAGCTGCCTGTAGGTCCTTAATTTGGATTACACTTCCAACTAGCATGTAAGATTTAAAACATAATTCTAGGTACTGCTACACTACCACACTTCATGGAATACAAGAAAAACAGACCACTAAACGATGAAATCGGAACAGTCTGAATGAAGTTAAAACATGCCTAAAGATTTGTAAACACAGCCAAGGGAAAAAACCTAAACCTCACATTTCCTCTTTTTTTAATGCATAATTTTCTAAGATACTTGATCAAACCCCAGGGTCATGAAAATGGAGTAACCTTTAGATCCATTCACTGGCATAAATATTTGCTCTGTTTTTTGCAGTAGTCACCATTTTTTATCAAAACACTGTTCCTTTTAAGGTTATTGACTTCAACTGGAATTTCACCAAGACCAGGATGTCTGTCATACCTAATTACCAATGAGTTCACAACAGACACCAGCAAAAATACCCCCACCCTACTGCAACTGCAACAAATGGAAGAATGGGGGAGGGAAGAAAAGAAAGGAGGGCTGGGAAAATGAAAGGAATACATGATGAAAACCGCATTTTCATTTAAAACATAGAAATATCACTCCCGCTTTTTCCCCACCGCTAAATTCCAGGAATCCCAAACATATCTTCATCTCCAGTGCAATACTGCAAAGGGCAATGGAAAAGGACTTCAGATGCTTTTTCCATGATGTAAGGGTAGAATTTTATGCTGCCAAGTGGGAATTTCAGGACTGAAAAAGAATGCACGGATGTTTGATGCAACGTGTCAGCACCAACAATCTGTCTTGTATGCAAACCAATTAGTAGCTTCTTATGTTGGCAATACAGTGATGTACACACAAAACAGGAAAGCTCAGTGACATAGAAGAGCCGATGAGTTTGTGGCTGTAGGGCTAGATCCAAAGCCCACTAAAGTCAATGGGTAGGTTCCCCTAAACCACACGTTGGTGCTTTGGTTTCAGCCAGGCTCCGAGCTGCTGCTTATCTGTGGGGAAAACTCAGTACTACAAGAAATGCCAACCAGAACATGTAGGGCTTCTGTGCCCATAAGCGTGAGGCAGAAGCTGGGCATCAGATCTCAGCGCTGGAAGCGTTATGCAGATACCACACATAGCAGCTTGTTATCTGAAGCAGGACAAAACTGGGGACTGGATATGGTATTCTTAAGTATCCTACACATACACCAAAAATTTAAAAAAAACCCAACCAGATAGATTCAGAGACCAATATTCTGTAAGAGGGGGGCAAATGTCCTCACCTTTAGAGGGGGAAGGAGCTTGAGAGGAAGTGGCAGACAGAAGCTTTGAGACATTATGTTTGTTTGTTGGGGAGGCTTTTTGTTTGGTTGTGTTTTGGGGGTTTGTTTAGGTTTTTTTGGTCTTTTTTTTTTTTTTTTAAATACAGGAGATACATGCTACAAGTCCAGTTCAGCACAGCACTAAAGCATGTGCCTAATTCTTCTGAAGAAAGACAGATTTCAGCTCCTGCTTAAGAATTTTGCTGAATTATAGCCAAAACATGTCAATTAACTCTGACCATTTCATTTGGTCTGTTCTAGAACAGGCATTCTGTATTACCGAAACTGACGAACAGCTGTCTCAAGAGGTATTTTAATCACTTTTCCTATAGTGCACTGACATCTAGTGGCCTGAAGTCTCCATCGTCAAAACACAATTTTTCACCAAAACTTCTCTTCAATAAAAACATTGTTTTCAGCAGCAGAAAATCATAGAACCATAGAATCATTAAGGTTGGAAAAGACCTCTAAGATCATCCAGTCCAACCATCAGCCCAACACCACTGTGCCTGCTAAACCATGTCCTCAAGTGCCACATCCACACGTTTTCTGAACACCTCCGGGGATGGGGACTCGACCACCTCTCTGCACAGCCTGACAGAATCATAGAATCATTAAGGTTGGAAAAAACGGTTCTTGTCCAGTATTTTCTTCAATGTCTTCCAAGTTTTGATAAAATGAAAATGCCTTCTCCAAGCTGGAAAAAAAGATTCAACTTCTTTAATTTCGCAATATAAAGCAAAAGAAATCACCTAGCAATGAAAAGTTGGATTAAAAAGGACATTACTGATGGCTGTATTCCTTTGTCCTTTAGACTGTGAAGACAAAATCTGCATAAACTGCATACATCTGATAATAAAGTATGTATCAATAATTGCCACTAAAGCAAGGTTTGGACCCTCATCCTGCCCTGCCTCTACCTATATCACTGACAGCTTTTACATCAAAATCATAATTTTATCTGCACTGCAGACAAGAGACAGGAGGTTAAATTCTGCTTCCATTTACAACTTAAGTTTCAACAGTGATGTAGTCACTTGCGTGGACATGAAAACAGAACTTAGCCTGGTTCTTCTGACACATACTCCAGATTTCATTCCAAATGAGAAGATTCAATTTTGCAAGTCAACTGTTTGAATCCCAAACAGAAAACTGATCAGCTGTCACTTGCTAATACAGAATCATTGAAAAAAGTTACATCAGAAGGGAACTCTGGCAGTCCTCCAGTCCAGTCATCCTCAGCTTCAGAGTCAAGCCACATTACTCCGGTCATTGTCCAGTAAAGTTTTGTGTATCTCCAGAGATGGCGATTCAAAAACTGCTGTGGGCATCCATCTTCTACATTATAACATTTTGTGAAATAAAAAAGATATGCCACATTCCATACCACAGAAAGGATCGATCTGAGCAGAGTACAGTATGCTGGACGACTCTCCTGAGTTGCCGTCACACTCCATTCAGGCAGATGATCTTTGTCTATAAAGCACTTTTTAATTTGGAGTTTGACTGTTATCTCAACCCTGTGCTGGCACTGGCTGCTCTTGCTGTGCGGTTATAAATGCTAGAGTTGGGCAAGGGTGAATGATTCCCATTTACGGGAGACATTTCATAGAGAAAAAGGCAGATCACATTTGTGGACTTCATTGCACTGAGGTTTTGGGGAAGCACATGTCAATGCTCTTAACTAACATTACCATTTTCTCACAGTACTATAAAATAATCCAGGGAAGAGATGTGGACAGATGGTTGGATGAGTTATCCTTACAGTTTTCACTAATGGTTATGCTTTTTTAATTGTATTACCAAGGTTAAACTGAATCCACTTTATATTAGTAATCAGTTGAAGTGTGTGTGCTTGAACACGTTCATTAGACCAAAACACAGGATCTCTCCTACACCTGTGAAGCAGAACACTCACAAACACACACACCCCGACTTATATTTTAGCAAGCTGGTAACTTCCACAAACAACTTAACTATGTTGTAACCCAGCTACAGAAAACAAGTATTTAGCAGACACTGAAAACCCCACGGTACCTTGAACACAAGTTTATCTCCACCCAGCCCAGCTTCCAGGAGACATGAAGCAGAAGTCCACCCACTAATGTCTGCCACCTGAAATAGAAACAGAAAAGCATATCTGAATTATTTGTCCTTTTTAACCATGTGGAGCACGACCTTAAAATCTACAGAATTTCTCGCAGCCCACTCACGACTCTAGTTATCTACTGTTTCTCTAGGTTACCAGGGATGGCACTATTCTGCTTTGAATCTTCATTTTTGTGGGCCTTCATTTCCTCCAATTTTTCTAGTACTTTGGTGCTTCCACCTTCTGTTTCAAATGTTTTGTAAATTACCATCTACCACAATTACCTTAGTGATGTTACTGAATCCCCATTTTATCACCTCTTCCCACGCAAGGTTTGCAATAATAGCGATGTTACAGCCATGAGAATCTGAAGACACAAGTGGGGCAAGGTTTGTGACAAGAGATTAATATCTTTTCATATATAAACTGTTATTGCTAGAATAAATAAAAATGATTTCAAGATTCAAAGACTCGCTTCGGCTGAAGTAATAAGCCCCAAGGATAACGTGTGTCGTCCTAGCAGTTTCAAACATTAGCTCTATGACTTCCCATGGTTATTCACGCTGGGCTTAGATTACAAATTCCCTCCAACTCAGACTGCTTTTTTTTACCCCCTCTGCATCTTGTGTAGCAAGCACCACGTAAAGTGTCATCAACAATAACATCATTACGCTGCATGACCCTCTGGAGAAAACACCTTTACAGCCAGATAACCTTGCATATAAACCACAACACTGTGGTTTTCTCACGGAAAAGGTATATAACCATTACATCCATTCTGCACTGACTTTACTGTCTAATGACTTGTCCTACCATAAAGGTGTTCCTTAGTCTATTATGGAAATAGTATGTGAGGCCTTAGAAGTTCTTGCACATAACTTGAAATTAGTAGTGATGCATACTTTCTTTTTAAGCCTTAAAATAAGTCACTAGCTTCCTTCTCTAAGCTAGTGGTTTTCAGAGAGGTGTTTCATGTTTCTTGGGTGAAAATCCTTAAACATCTAGCACAGTTCAGACAGATACTGTACTACAGTGTTAAATCACATCAACATCTGCAACAGGTATAGAGGTGATTTTATTATTCCCATTCATTGCAATGCATTTAAGCAATTATTTAAAATCTCTCTCACACATATGCAAATAAACAAATATCCACTCTTTGCAGTATAACATACAGTTGGACAGTGTCAGAGAAGAGCGAGCTCATTATCCACAGAGGTGTGATGAATATTCAATGCTACTATCACAGCTCACTTCATCTTTTTCAAATAAGGAGCATACGAGAGCTTAAAAGCCAGGTATCCCTGATGTTTGCTGCAGGGTTGACCATGCTCTATTCCAAGTCAGCGATGAATTCCCATCAACTTTATTGTGAAGAATTTCCTCTTGTCTCAGGTTTCAAGGACAGAAGTTGAAGTCAGTAACAGTTCCAGATCCTTAGCACTATGCGATACAGTCTTAGATTATATAGGGAACAAAAACAATGACAATGAACAACAGCATGAACTGAGAATAACACTCTTTTCCTCCTTTGTTCATCTGTCATAGCTCTAAATGAAAGTGCATCTGAGCCACTTCATAATTTTCAAGGAAAGGTCACCTTTAAAAGTCAGAACGTATGGAAAAATATTAAGATGCTGAGACGCATTTCCAAATAACAGAAAAAGGAAATAACTGTGGTAACACAGATACCATGAGGCAGTTGCTTGCCACTGAAGTATGCTTTTTTACAGTTGATTTACCACACTTGGATTTTAGACACGTTAGTCAAAACCCCTTCCTCTTATTATAAAAGCCTTCTGTGAGAGTGTGTGTGTGAGCTCAGCAGTAAAGGAATTAAAGATATCCAGTGTCACTGTGATCTCAAAAGAACAAACGGGGGAACACTTGACTCCAAGAGGCCCAATTTTCACTAAATGTCTCACAAATTATTAACAGCACTGATGGTACATATGGATACTTTACAAAACATTAAATTTCTCATTACACTCATTAAGATAAGACAGTGACTTGTGATGCAGAGTTACAGCAAAGGCTAAGCATGAAAATAAGCAGCATTCTCTTTGCGCATGCCTGAAGATCAGTTTAAGGATGGTTTTTATTAACATAGTGAAAGAATATACCACAACTGCACATTATCCACGAATGACATTTCCAAAGAAGACAGATTGTACTATAATATCTACTTTTCTATGCTGAAGCATAAGACTTTCAGAAAAATGAGAAATTATGGAGTCCATGTATCTTAATTACATTACCATCGTGATGTTTAAAAATTAACCAAGACACCTTAATGAATGCCTTTTACTAAGGCTTCATGAAGTACGCTCTCTACAGGCAGCAAAAGCCAGTAATGACAAGAGGTACTAAGGTTAGCTTCAGCATGGAACAGCTAGACTTCCACTGCTTAAAGTCATTTTTCAGACAACTGTATTCTTAAAACAGTACTTACCCTTGGAAAAGGGTAGGGTAGGTAAATTTCAGGACAGACAGGACATACTGGAAAATAAATACCAAATTAATGGACATCAAACACCTACAGCTTATAACATTAACAAACAATCACAAGAGCAACAAAACACAAAAAGTTTCTACCAAAATAAAGAAAAATAAAAAGACAAAAAAAAAGTTTTCAGTACTTTCTGCTTGCATGCCAGGACTGCTGGATGCTGCCCCAGTCACTGTGGAAGGTAAGCAGACACTGAAGGACAACAGGTATGGAGTGGACACACTGAATGATGGAGAGGAGGCTACCTTCTGAATTGCTCTTCAACTTTCTGAGCACACTCCATGCATTGCGTTGAACGGGAAAAGTATTAACAGGAACAAAAAGACACAAGCACTTGTCAATTAAAATCATACCATACCACAGAGGCAACCTTTGGCAGACTCAAGACCTATAACCTTAAGTAATCATCTCCTGATGATTAATTCATCTTTGTGACCTAACACGTTGTTTTGAGTAAAATATTAAACAGTCCATAAAGCCCTTTGGAGATGTAACATATGGGGGGAAAAAAGCAAAGCCTCTGTGTCGTTGCTTTAGTATGCTTTGTCAGGGTCTGTGTGTATGGATGCTAGTGTCTTTTCCCACTATATATGTATATATGCAAATATGAGGCAGAAATACATATGCTTTTTGATGTGTATATCAGGATCTAACAACTTCCCATAATGACGTATATAAATACCATTTCTGCAAAGGAGAGTGATGACTGAAGCTTCCTCAGAGGAAAGGAAAGGTACCTGCCATTCCTCCCAGGAGCCAGCGGAAGTTGTCAGTGGCAAAAGCAGAAGCTGAAAGCTTTCAACAGAGAGGAAACTTTGCACTTTGCAAGGTCCAGCTTTCAGGTGCAGGGGGTGTCACTACAAAGCTGGCATCAACGTACAGAGACAAGGCGTGTCGATTCACAAAGGGTGACATTACACATATACTTGTCTGAACTGCCAGACGGGTTTTAAATCAGGACAATATACCTGCACGTGTCCCCACTTCCATTTACAAGCCAACTGCAACAACTGAAAGGTCTATATTCTGGTTATTTTTAATTCCGTTACACTAAAACCTACATTCAAGTTTGAAAATGGAGGCCCTGTGTCAAAGTCCTTCCAACATCCTCTCAAGAACAGCTAAGCCAAGACCCTTTTCCAACGCGTGCCGCAGTCCGGCAGCTCTTCCAGCCCCTTTCTGCTTAACTGACCACTGCCCCCAGCACTCCGCCAAATCAAGGGCACTGCCTCTCCCTACGCACTCTGCTTCACGCCTGGGCTTCGGTCTGCTTCTGGGCATCCTTAGCGGCAAGCGCACCTCGGGAACAGAAACCGGTGCCGAGAAGAGGTTTCATTTTCACCTCCGAAACGCTGCTTTTCCCTAACTCTCCCTCCGAAACCCCCACCCCGGCTGCTTCAAACCCATCTTTTCTTTCAGAAACCTGCACCAGAAACACAGACGCACTCTCTAATAAACAGGAGAGCCAGGAGCAGCTACCCCACCTCTTCCTCCGAGAGCGGGCGAACTACCCTGAACTACGTTCAGACTACACAGTTTTACCCACGACGTGGCCATCTCCAGCCCACTTCTCCTGCTTCGACATTTCAGCAGCACCGACAGGCGCCCGGTGGGAAGCAAACACCCACCCACACCCACACCCACACCCACACCCACACACACCCCCCACACCCACCCACCCCCACCCCCGACGCTGGGG